TATAATCCCAGGTACAAAATACTGAAATACTCTGGGTCATCCCTTTGTCAGAGACCATCCATAATTCCACAAATGCAGGCAGACAGAATAATGGTTCAAATATGCCTAGTGCACATCTAGTCAGGATGAATCAGAGAAACAAAGAGAACTGGAAGGGACCTGAAGAGGTCATCAAGTCCAGTCCCCTGCCCTCACAGCAGTATAATCCCAGGTACAAAATACTGAAATACTCTGGGTCATCCCTTTGTCAGAGACCATCCATAATTCCACAAATGCAGGCAGACAGAATAATGGTTCAAATATGCCTAGTGCACATCTAGTCAGGATGAATCAGAGAAACAAAGAGAACTGGAAGGGACCTGAAGAGGTCATCAAGTCCAGTCCCCTGCCCTCACAGCAGGTCCATCTAGATCACCCTGACAGGTGTCTGTCTAACCCGCTCTTAAATATCTTCAGTAATGAAGATTCCACCATGTCCCTAGGCAATTTAATCCAGTTTTTAACCACTCTGACTTTAAGTTTTTCCTGGCTGCAATTTAAATCCATTGCTCCTTGTCTTATCATCAGAGGTGAAGGAGAACAACTTTCTCCCTCCTCCTTGTAACACCCTTTTAGGTACTTGATATCAAAACTAGATAAGCCACAGGGGAAAACTGAGAGGAATATGTCACTGAAAAAATACTTCCTAACAGCTCCTGCTCATCTCAAATAGAGCAGAAATAAAATAATAAAATGAAGAATAGTGCTAATATTCAGACTCACATTTTCCTGACATTTGAGTCTGCCTGTTGATCTTATAGAATCTCCTGGGCTATGTCTACAATGCCTCCATTTTGTGCAAAAAATATGCAAATGAGGTGAAGCGTGGAATATCACCTGCCTCATTTATGTATTTAATGAGGCTCCATTTTTGTGCAAGGGGCTTTTGTGCAAAACCGAAGCCTCTTTAATTATGCAAATGAGGCATTGCGATATATAGTCACTTCACCTCATTTGCATATTTTTTGCACAAAACGGGGGCAGTGTCGACATAGCCCTGGAGTTTAACCAATCTGGGCAAAGCTTTTTATTCTGTCTTGATTTGAAGGCTTATGCTGCTGCTGTGCACCTGCTGTTCCTTCAGAGCAAGTGAGCAGGGAGTGGGCAGACCTTTGGTACTGACTAACCCCTAAGCCAGTTAACATAATTAGGGGAGTGCTTTCCAATTGATAAATGACCATTCACCAGTTATTAGCATTGTGTTCATGGCAAACACACAGAGAAGTTGGCTGAAAAAATAAAATATTACTGTGAAAATATTGCACTTAACATTCGTCACTGCTTAGAATCCAGAACCCTACCAGAAAAGAACCCCAAAACAGAGAGACAGAACAGGCTGGTCCCTAAAACAGGCAGAGCTCATCCTGACTTGCTCAGGGCTCACTCTCTGTGCACTGTGTGCCAAAAGACCCAGATTGCACACCTTTCTGCAGAGCCACCTAGCATACCATCATGAGCAGATAACTCTTTATAAAATGAAAGTAATAATTTAAACACAAATTTTCACACATGACAATTCTTCGTTGGAGGAACTGGGGGGCAGGGATAGTATTTCTCCTTTATCACATGATTTCTTCCATACTCTGACTCCTCTGAGTAAATTGCTCAAACACAAACTAGGATTAGATCAATACCGCAGAGTAAAGGACAAAGTTCAATAGCCATAAAAGGGATTGTAACAGAAGAAAGGTGCGGCTCAGCCCTAATCCCTGTACAGCATGTAATGGCTGTCCCGGAGTCTGCTGTTCAGGTAAGAAATCACTTTTTAGCTAAAACAGGCAGAAAACTCACCAGGTTTACAGAGATATTCAGATGGATGTTGGGTGTTGGCCCAGTCATCTGGTAAAACCAAGCCCCTTGGTGGATTGAATTTGAGAATTCAAATTCGGCTTTTCCAAGGTTGAAACTACATGAGAGAGAAATATGACTGCCATTGTCAGGTTAGAAGGAATTTGCTCACAATAGTTTGTGTTCCACCTTATTTCAAGCATTCGTTTCAGGAATGAAGTGAACTAGCCAACAGATGTGAAGAAAGATGAGGAATTTAGGGGTGTTTCTCTATAGGAGAGTTTTCTGACAGCTCCTTATGTGATTAGGGGTGTGTGAGCTTTGTGCTTTTGTTATAAACCAGTAACTCTGCTTAAAAGGGCTGTGTTGGCAAATCAGTCAAGACTGTGTTCTCCATGGCAATTCATCGATTTGCCACAAGCAGACACAGAAACCTTCTTTTCAATCTTTCCTTTTTGATGGAAAAATTAAATATGTTCAGTGTTTTCCAGGAAGATTATACACAAATATATGGATGGCCAACCATTCTGTGTACATATATGTATTAGATTTGTATGTTAAATAAGATCCATGAGTGCTTGAAAGTTCATGAAAGTTCATGAGTGCTTGAAAGTTTTCTGGCCTTTAGCGTTTTGTCTGTGTGCGTATTCCTCTTTCTGGCTTATTTGGCAAAAGGGAGGAGAAGAAAATGATAGTATCTGATTTCATTTGAAAAAGAGAGTAAAATATTCTGAAAGCTGAGACAGAAAAAGGTTGGTCTTTAAAAAAAAACGCATGTTTGATTCTGGTTTCACATAGGACTAACTCTACGAATTACACAAAAAAAGAATTTCCCCCCTTTGCTTCTTTCCAAACCTAGGGAAAAGCAGATTCTGATCTTCACTTTACTGCTCTGTGCAAAGAGAGCGAATAAACTGATTTAACAGGAAAATAGATCAATAGGATTGAGAAGTAAAGTAGTGGGAGCTGATGAGTAGTTCCATTTTGTTCTGCAAGAGATGAGGCCTCCATTTGAGCTCTGCTCTTTCATTTTCCTTTGTTGGGAGAACTCTAGAATGCATATACTCACCCCTACCCAGGATTGAGTGGCTAGTGTCCTTTGCAAGGTGCCCTTGTGTCTAGCAGCGTTACTAGACTCCAAAGAGAGGGGAGGAAATGAGAGACAGTTGTATGGAGGCCTTGAGGTTGGGGGATAGGGGGGCCCAAAATCAACTGTAACATCTACAGAAATACAGAGACATGGGAGGGAGGCCCAAAATTTCTCCATTGAGACCTATTAGCAAAGAGATAATTTACAATGAATCTACTAGCTCCGGATCGAAAGCCCTAATAAAAATGTCTCTGAATACAATGAGCTTTGGGTCAGGCCTTCTGTGAGAGATTTTGTGTGTGTGTGTGTGTGTGTGTGTGTGTGTGTGTGTGTGTGTGATGCATTCCCTCTCTGATCACTTCTTAGATGGCATAGAGCTGTTACCTTTCTCCTGTGAAGTGCTCATCCAGTTAGCTCAAACCAGAAACAGTTTATGCTTTCAGGTCACGACTCTTCTTACTGGAAAATTGACACTCTGGAGGGTGATCTACTGGAGTTTGATTTAGTATAGACCCATAAATTGAATGTTGAGAGCAGCTCCCACTGATGGCCAGTACTTCTCCTTTCATGGGAAGAAAGGGAAGCGGATGGGAGTGTTTGCTCCTGTCAGCCTCCTGCAGTGTAGATGCCACCAAGGCTCAGCTTAAGGTAAATTGACTCCAGCTACTCATTTTGCACAACTGGAGTTGTGTACCCTAAGCTGACCTTCCTAGTCTAGAGTAGTCCAGGTCTGTGTTCTGTAAATCCTCACATCAGTCTCCAGTGTCAGTCAAAATGGCAGGTGTCTTCTGAGCAACTTGTACCATGGAGAACTTTATGTAAATAAAGATTTTTAATTTAACAACAAAAAAATATGTATCTGATGAAATCTCTTTATAAGCTCGCGGCGTGTCCCAAGGGCTCTGGTGAGCACTAACTACTCCCTTCCTCTAAAGGAAAATGATCAATAAAATTAACAAAAGTTCTGTGCAAGTTAGAAGGCTGAGTAGGATCTCTAAGTGGTGTATTTTAATAGTTTGGTGTATATAGCAACACTGATCCCAATTTTGCATCAATTGTTAGCAGGTTCAGGCCCTTTGTTAATATGTTTCTGTTCATTTTTCCTCCCACATTGATCTGTACCTGCCCTCATTGTGTCATTTTGTGTTCTGCATTTGAAGAGACTGCAAGACTCATAAGGATTTCCTTGGGATGTTTTCACTTTTCTACTGATGTCATGAAAGCCTGCACAGTGATGGAGTCCACATTTCAGTGGGTGTCACCTCTTCTCCTATTGATTTTTCTACAAATGCCCCATTTGATTGCAGGTAAATATAGTTCTGTGTTAAACACATGCAATGAAACAATTAATCATTATCAGGGACAATGGAAAAGCATGGATGCCAAAATGATGGAGTCCTGTGTCTTCCTTTATTTTGCAAGGTATAAGGTTTTATTTTTAAAAAAATCTCTAATATTTTTATTTTATTGGTATATTCCCATATAACTATCCCCTCTGTCCTGTTCAACCTCATATCAAATGAAAGCAAAACCACCACATGACGTTCTACTGTAATATATCTGATTTGCACAAACAAACATATTCCTTTTTAGAAACACGTCACTTCTCTATAGGGGTCAGTGCAAGGCCAATGCACCATTCAAGTCACACTCAGTCTCGCACTGTAAAATTAATATGGAACATTCATTGCTCTTTGGCCCAAAGTATTAGGCAGGTTCTCATGTCCATTCCCAGGGCTACTCTATGGGTTCCTTACATGATCATTAAATTCACAATCAATAATGGCCCACAGCACTGAAGCCTCAATTAAGGAAGAGCCATGCAAAATCTATAAGGACAAAATCTTTTGGGAACCTTTTGATACACAAACCGAGGCAGAGCTACAAGTCACAGGGATAGTCACAGAGTGAAAGGATGGTAGAATACGGCCTCTGTGTCTAAAACAGCTCACACGATGAATTGTCTGTCTCTGACAATTTCTACAACAAGACTGGAGGCTTTTTTCTAAAAGATCTACTCTAGGAGGGAACTTCTTTGGCCTTCGTGATACACGTCAGGCTGGATGATCACAGTGGTCCCTTCTGGACTCATAGTCTCTGGACTTATGCACATGCATTTCCTGTGCATGCTTGTGCAATCACCATCCCAGCTCGTGGCTCTTCCCAAGAGGTGCTTTGACAATTCATTACCAGCTCCATTGTTTTCCTGTATGAAAGAACAGCTGGCAATGGGTGAATTATTTCAGCCAAATAGTTTATTTAAGGGAAATGGTTGTTTCAGGTGATCCAAAACAATTTACTTAATAGTTTAGAAATTGATCCAACAGCAGGAGAATGTGGGGTGGTACTGCTATGGCCCCCCCCCCTTTTTTTTTTAATAGTATGATCGGTTTCTTCTTATAACATTTAGCTCCTTGGTTAGGGCTCTCCCGTGGCAGGTGAAGGGTCCAGATTTTAATCAGTGCTCTGGAAAAACCCCAAAAGGACTTTTCCGAGTCACCAAAAATTCCAAAAAATACCCTTTGATTCATTTGGACCCAAAGCAAATTCTTTCTTCAGTTTTTCCAAATTGCTACTAGAATAGAAAATCTGTTATTTGTCCAACTGTGTGAAACATCCAGAGCTGTAGAAGCTTTTATAAAATCAATCAAGCTCCTCCTCTTTGCCTCAGTGATCATTGTGAACAGTAATTCCATTTAATGGATAATGAATTGTGGAAAAAAAATGATGGTAGCCCCTGGATTTCTGTTCCTCTTCAATACTGTTAAGCGAGAGATCAAAGTTCCTTTCCTCCTACTCTTTCTTTCAAGAGATCTTGGAGTTATCGTGGACAGTTCTCTGAAAACTTCCACACAGGGTGCAGCGGCGGTCAAAAAAGCAAATAGGATGCTAGGAATTATTAAGAAAGGGATAGAAAATAAGACCCAGAATATCTTACTGCCCCTGTATAAAACTATGGTACACCCACATCTTGAATACTGTGTACAGATGTGGTCTCCTCATCTCAAAAAAGATATTTTGGCCTTGGAAAGGGTTCAGGAAAGGGCAGCTAAAATGATTAGGGGTTTGGAACGGGTCCCATATGAGGAGAGGTTAAAGCGACTGGGACTTTTCAGTTTAGAAAAGAGGAGACTGAGGGGGGATATGATAGAGGTCTATAAAATCATGAGTGATGTGGAGAGGGCCGATAAAGAAAAGTTATTTATTAGTTCCCTAAATAGAAGAACTAGAGGACACCAAATGAAATGAATGGGTAGCAGGTTTAAACTAATAAAAGAAAGTTCTTCTTCACACAGTGTGTAGTCAACCTGTGGAACTCCTTGCCAGAGGAGGCTGTGAAGGCTAGGACTATAATAGAGTTTAAAGAGAAGCTAGATAATTTCATGGAGGTTAGGTCCATAAAAGGCTGTTAGCCAGGGGATAAAATGGTGTTCTTGGCCTCTGTTTGTCAGAGGCTGGAGAGGGATGGCAGGAGACGAATCGCTTGATCATTGTCTTCGGTCCACCCTCTCTGGGGCACCTGGTGCTGGCCACTGTCGGTAGACAGGATACTGGGCTAGATGGACCTTTGGTTTGACCCAGTACGGCTGTTCTTATGTTCTTATGTTATGTTCTTATGTACCCTCTTGGAAAGGTAGGAGGGGGTCTCTTGCATTGAGGGTGATTTGTGAAGAGGGGATTCTTCCTGGAACAGTGGGAAATAAACTTGAGCCATTTTCATACCTTTTGATTTAAATTTTATGTCTGTCTCCTGAATGGAATGGAAGCGGATTATCCTCGTCCAGATACAGACAGGGGTTATGCACCTCTACAGGAGAGTTAGGGTACGTCTAGACTAGGGAACGTCTAAACTACAAGCCTCTTTTGAAAAAGAGTGTCTAGACTACAAGAAGATTTTTCGAAAAAGTGAGCCGCTTTTTCGAAAGGGAGTCTAGACGCTCTCTTTCGAAAAAGCCCTATTTGCATTCAATAGCACCTTTTTTCGAAAGATGACTTTTGAAAAAAGGTGTTATTCCTCATAGAATAAGGTTTTCCGTGGTCAAAAAAACTACCACGTTCTTTTTTGAAGAAAGGTACTTTTTTCGAAAAATCCCTGTAGTCTAGACACACCCTTACGGGGTGTGGTGACCCAGTTATACCTCTATGCAGCCCATCCAGACCTTAAAATCTGGCATGGTGGTGTATGCAGAAGCTATGCTTATGAAGCCAATTCGAGAGCACCAGGAATTGGGTCATGGCTTCTCCCTACAATACATCAATCAGAAGAACTGACTCAGCACAGCCATTTTAATTTCTGCTAGTATAAAATATCTGCAAGTGACTAACCCTTCTGTTCCAGATCGAGCAGGAAGCAAGGCAGGAATTGTGCCTCCTCTACATACTGGTCCTACGGTGCCACAGCTACACCCGGCCTCATTCCCATGGCCTGAGGCAGATCCACACTCTAGCCTCACAGAGTTTCCTGTAAAATTCACAAGCCAGAGTATCTGCAGCTGATGCAACTTCTGCCTCTGTCTACACAGGTCGGTTTACAATCATCCCTCCTCAGAATCCTGTCATTGCTGTCATTGGAGAAGATGTTGTTCTACCCTGCCAACTGACAGCAGCAGATAACCCTGACACAATTACTGTCCAGTGGATACTTTCTAGACCCCCAAACAAAATAGAAGTAAGCACCTATGATGGACAAATAAAAGAAGTGAGACGGGATGAGAGATACCAGGGCAGAACACAATTCTTCCAAACTGAATTTCGAGCAGGAAATGTGTCCTTAAACCTGAAGGATATCAAGGTCTCTGACAAAGGGAAGTACACCTGCAGTGTCTCTTTGAATACGTGGTACGATGAGGTGGTGGTTGAACTGGATGTAACAGGTGAGTGGCCCTGGCTCTCATTCATCAGCCTAAGGTAATACACAATATCATAGAATCACAGAATGCTAGAGCTGCAAGAGACCTCAGTAGGTCATTGAGTCCCTCTGCCCAAAGCAGTACTAACCCCAATTAAAATATAATCATGTGAGGCCAAAAAAAATGAAGGAGACCCAGTGTCATTCTGCTGAACTGAATGAAATTCTGTGGAGGGCGGGTTTGATTCAGGGAATACAGGTGTGGATGTGAGACAGTTTTCGTACAGAATTAAACACATATGTAAAATGTGACCTGACACATCTCTGTTACCCCATGGTGCAATCCGCTTAGCTGTCAAATGTTGTGTTCCTGGGGGGAGGAGGGGAAAAAAAGTTAGAGCATTCTTGAGGGTTTGTCTTTCTGGGAGGTTACAGATAACATCTCTTAATTTTTTAGATTCCAAAACCCTAACACACAATAACAGAAAACCAAAGAGAGACAAAGCAGGCTGCTCCTTATGCTAGAGAGGCCCAACACACCTCACCGTTCTCTAGGCTTCTTGTTTGCAACAGCCACTAAAGCCAGATTGGCATTTCTCTACAGACTCCATCTCCAACAAACAGGCTGGAAAAAAAAGCCATGACATTTGAAGTGACAACTTATAATTTAAACTGAGTTTTCACCATACCCACACACCAAGATAAACATGACTGTGTCACAGAGAGGTCTTTGACAGATTCTGAACTTCAATGGGTAAAGAGGAAAAGCTCCAGTGGATAGATTTCTTCTGATATAATGTCACTATTTTATCTTAAACTGGAAAGAGGTCTTGTCCTGCAATTTCATATGAAGGGGGTGACAGATTCTGTTAGAATTCTGAGGCAGCATGATAAAGCTGCATAATTCTCAGGCAGCGTTGTTTGGAGAGGCAAAGACAATTACAACATTTACTCTTTCTTTATAGCAAGAGGTGCTAAGCCTTCCATTTTCCTGGAGGACTATGCAGGGCAGGGGATCGGCCTCACTTGCAAGGCAGAGGGATGGTTCCCTGAGCCCCAGGTGCTCTGGCTAGATAGTAAAGGAGAAAACAGAACAGAAAAGTTGACAACCAACAAAAAAGAGACACTTGCTAAAATCTACAATATTGAAAGTTCCATTATCATAGAACCAGGATCGGACAATGAGGCCTCCTGCAAAATAATCAACCATGTGCTAAAAACAGCGAGTGAGTCCAGAGTCCTAATTTCAGGTGAGTACAAACTGGGGTCAGTGACTGTAAGAATCAGTAAACAGCTGCTTGGTTAATGAGGTGGGTCCTGTTTGTCTCACTCCACCATGGTAAGAAGTAAATGTTCAGTGTTTGTCCAGCTGAGCAGATGGAGCACTGTATTAGGATTCAGGAGGCCTGAATGCTATTACTTACTGTGATGCTGATCTGCTGAGTGACACTGAGCAAGTCACTTAACTGTGCCTCAGTTTCCCACATATGGGGCTAATGAGATTGACCTCCTCTGTAAAATGTTTTGAGATCTACTGTTGAAATGCCTGATATCAGAGCTCAGGATTATTTTCTTTTTAATTCTTGCCTGACAGTTTCCAGCAAAAAACTTTTTGATTATATTGAGTTAAAATATTTTAAAAGTCATAATTAGGTGCTTTCATTCTAAATAATGATCCACTGATCAAATAGCTTACTTTGCGCATGCATATACAACAAAGTTGCATAAAATTTTCAATATTACTAAAGGTACAGAAACTGCTTCATTCAATGTAGAGATGCATTGTTGAAAAAGAGGTTAAAGTGAAGGTGGTATATATAGCTTTCATTTTGGTCCCTCCTGAGTCTTGCATGCTTAATTTTTCAACTTTAATGTTACTTTAAATTTTAATGTCACTTTAACATTGATATTACTTTAACTTTTCATCATTATTCAGTTGTTATTGGGTAGATTCTATAGTCCTTCCTATGAGGCTCTGTCTACACTAGCCTATGTCTAGACTTCCCCTGCTTGTGCAAAAAAATGCAAACTAAGAGAGGCATGGAATATTGCCACACCTCATTTGCATAATTAATTAGGCTCCATTTTTGCACAAGAGGCTTTTGAGCAAAAAGGTGCCATCTACGTGGCTCTTTTTTGCACAAAAAAGCCCTTTTGCACAAGAGCTATTCTTCCTGAAAAAAGAGGGGGTTTCTTGCACAAATATGGAGTCTCATTAATTATGCAAATTAGGCATGGCAATATGCCATTTGCATATTTTTTTGTGCAGGAAGGGGCAGTCAAGACAGCCCATGGGTTTTTCCACAAGAGGCAACGCAAGTGAAGCACGGATTATCATTTTCTCTTGCTTCATTTGAATTGTCTCTTTCATTGTGTTTTTGCACTATGGGTTTTTGCGCAAAACCAGGCAGCGTGACATAGCAGTTTTGCACAAAATTCCCTTTTTCTGTAATATCCTTATGCCTCTTTGGGATAATGCATTGGCTATGACATTGGTGTTCCCCTTGACATGGATCACTTCCATGTCGTAATCCTGCTGGAGCCGCCTCTACCTTGTTCAGCTACTAGATAACCGGGGCCAATGCGGGCTCACTCTCTGTGGTCACAACAGTCCTTCCTCTTCCCTTAGGCTCTGTTCAGGGTCTCTCTGGCCAGGCCCAGGAGCTCAGCGAGCCTTTCCCAGAAAGCCAGGACATCCTTCACCCCGACTATCCATCCGGGGAAACCTCCCCCTCCCATAACTCTCTCAGCAAGCCCAGGGGTTCCCCCCCCTTCAGCACCATGGCTCAGTCTAGGAGAACCTGGTGGACCCGTGGGGCACCTCTCTGTGTGCAGAAAGCAGGTGGGGCTGGTACTTGTCCCAGTCTTGCAGGTACTGGTGCATAAAGGCCTTCAGCATCTGCTTCAGAGTCCCATGGAACCTTCCCACCAGCTGAGTGATAGGCCGAGGGGAACTGGACCCCACGCTTCTCCCACAATTCCTGGAGCAGGGCAGACATGAAGTTGAACCCCTGGTCCATGAGGACCTGCTGGTGGACCTGCACTGTGCTGAAAATGGCCAGCAGTGCATCTGCCACCGTGTCTGTCTCAATAGAGGGCAGAGCCATGGCCTCGGGGTAATGGCAGCCAAATCTGACACCACCAAGATCAACGTATTTCTTCCCCATCGAGGTCGCCCTGCTGATCTTCTGGAGAGGCTCCTCTATGATGGGCAGGTGCCTCAAGGCAGCTTTCCCCCAGTCTCAGGCTTTCCCTGCCCTCTGGCAGGAGTCGCAGGCTCCGAGTGGTGACCAGAGCACTGTGGGGTCCTTCTGGCCACTCCTCTAGGTCACCCCCATCAGCACCTCTGTAGGCAAGTGCCGGTGCACCCCCACTTCCTTGGGGCCCTCCTCAGATCCCCATTTCAGATGCACCTGGGCTACAGGTACCTTGAATGAGGTCCCATCTATGCCTCTCAGGGTCAGCTGGGTGTTGGGCACTATGCAGTCTGAGGCTATTATACTGGGCTGGGCCAACATCACCTCCACCCCTGTGTCCCAGTAGCCCATCACCTCCCTACCATCCATCTCCAAGGTATGAGGCACGAGGCACTCGCTCCACAGGGGCCACCCTGCCCCCACCCGGTATGCGGAGAAACCTGCCTCTGGAGTGTCACATCTCCCGGAGAAGCTGGCCTGGATGGCTTCCCATCCGTGAGCTGAGGGTGGCCTGCCAGCCCCTGCCCTGGGGCAATCTGCTCCTCCTTCAGCCCCACCCAGTTAACCCTGGGAAGTCTCTGGTTGTGGGGCCTATCCTGATGCCTGGGGTACTAAGCCCATTTGTGGCCCCTTTGCCCACAGAGATGGCAGGTCAGGCCCACTGGGTCTCCTTGGCTGGCTGCTCCATCCGGGTACTGGCTGGCCCTCTGGGGGGAGAACTGCTGGCCCATGTTTCCTGGGCTCCCCCCATTAGGCATTTCCCCTAGTTGCACAGCCAAGAACTGGTCTCTCTGGGATTCCTTTTCTCTCCAAGATTCCCTCTTACACCCGGACTGGCCGTCCTTGAACTCATCAGCCAGCTTCCCCACACTGTGGGGTCCTCTGGCTTCTGGTCCTTGAGCCACCGCCTCAGGTCAGACGAGCACATTTCATAGAACCATTCCAGGACTTAACCAGATCCTCTATGGCCTGGGCCCCAGCCCACTCACTTGAGGTAGTATTGCATCAGGAGGGAGACCAGGTCTCCTCTGGCCCCTTCTGCATCCCCTGGAACTTCTTTCTGTACATCTCAGGGGTCAGCCCGAACTTCTACAGCATGGATTTTTGACACATTTGTAGTCCCCCCGCTGCAGCCTCTCCAGCTAGCTAAGCACCCCCGCAGCCTTCTGATCCAGCAAGGGGGGAGGGGACCTTGCCTGAGACGAATGGCTGCTGGTGGAGTGTGGCCTGGTGGGCACTGAGTCTGTCTGGCAGACTCCAGCCCTCACTCCGGTTTGAGAGTCTATAACGCTCTCAAGGGGTGTATGGCTGCTCATCACTGGAACAGAATCCAGGCCCCTGAAATGGTCATTCTCTTCCAGCTGGGCAATCAGCTGGACCTTGTTTGCTTTCTCCATGGTCAGGTCCCTCTCCTTGCACCACCCTGCAATGTCTGCCTTCAGGAGTCAGGTGTAGTCCATCTCGCCACCGTTCCCTAGGGTTCAGACTCACTGGCTGATGCTGCAGTGTCCCACGACTCCCAGGAATCACTTAGCTCTGTCTCCAGCACGCCTGGCTCTTGTAAATCCCCTTCTTTTGAGATCGAGCTGTGACTAAAGGAAACTGCTATGGCCCCCTCAAAGTTATCCGGCAGCCAAACAAGTTAGAGCCTGCTCCAGCAGGATTATAACATGGAAGTGATCCATGTCAAGGGGAACGCCAATGTCACAGCTGATGTGTTATCATGGAGAGGCATAAGGATGTTTTGGAAAAAGGGGGTTTTGTGCAAAACTGCCACAGACATACTGCCTGTTTTTTCACAAAAACAGAATGAAAGTCTATGCAAATGAAATGCAAGAAAATGCTAATCTGCACTTCATTTGCATTGCCTCTTGTGGAAAAATTCATAGTCTATATCTACACTGGTGCAATCTTGCACCAGAAATATGCAAATGAGGCTGTGTGGACTATCGCAGAGCCTCATTTGCATATCTAATGAGCCACCATTTTGCGGAAGAGGCTCTTGCTCAAGAAGGAGCATCTACACTGCTCCTTCTTGCACAAGAAAAACCCTATAGCGCAATGCCATTATTCCTGAAAATAATCAGCATAAATGGCATTGCACAAGAGGGTTTTTCTTGCGCAAGAAGGGGCAGTGTAGACAGCTCCTTCAGGCGCAAGAGCCTCGTCCTCAAAAATGGCGGCTCATTAGATATGCAAATGAGGCTCAGCGATATTCCATGCTTAGCCTCATTTGCATAGGTCTGGCACAAGATCGCGCCAATGTAGACATAGACATAGTGTAGCTGTAGCCTGACTTTGTAGCCCTCGCTCAGGTGAATTGTCCTGTTTATATCTGTTGACTTTAAGTATTGAATTCAAACATTGCCACTGACTTGTTTTATGGCCTTAGAGAAATTGCTTAACTTTCCCCACCTCAATAAGAAGGCAATAACATTTATCCTACTTCACATGGCTGTTGACTACGTCAATTAAATTTAGTGCATATAGATGAATGCCTCATATCATTATCCTGAGTAACACCGCTAAGGATATTACTTTAAGTACTCTCCTTTCTTCAGTAGAGCACTTGTCTGCCTTTCTTTGTATTTAATGCTACTTCTGGTGGGAATGTGATGGCAAAGATGCACACTGCATTTTCACTAGTAGGCAGCAGTGGTTGTGTTTATGAGGTAACATGGGCATGACTTTCACCATTTCATGGACTGATAGAGGGCAAATTATCATTGAAATGCATGCCAATTAAAAAAAACCAACAATGAAACATGCCTACAATTTCTGCATGAACACTAGTGCTGAAAGTGTATTTCAGGTAAATCCTGTGAATTTTAGCCATGTGAAAGATGTCAATTTGTCAATGAGCAAAGGTAAGGTAAGTGACATATAGCTGAAGGTATGTGATTTTGCCAGAACACAGTGAAGGATATATGGCTCATGGCTCTGTTCTGTGTGGTATCTGGAAGATGTGTAAAACCTTGATTTAAATTAATCTAGATTTTGCCAAAAAGAGACACCAGTTTCTAAATGCAAGTGAAATCCAATCTCTGCAGATTCTTAGACAAAATCCATGGCTATGTCTACACTGGCGCGAACTTGCGCCAGAGCTATGCAAATGAGGCTAAGTATGGAATATTGCTGAGCCTCATTTGCATATCTAATGAGCCACCATTTTTGTGGAAGAGGCTCTTGTGCCTGAAGGAGCTGTCTACACTGCCCCTTCTTGCGCAAGAAAAACCCTCTTGTGCAATGCTGTTATTCCTGAAAATAATCAGCGTAAACGGCACTGCGCAAGAGGGTTTTTGTTGCGCAAGGAGCAGTGTAGACAGTTCCTTCTTGCGCAAGAGCCTCTTCCGCAAAATGGCGGCTCC